CCAGGGGGGATGGTCACGCTGCAGTCCCTTCTCCTCCATTCTCCTCTCGGGATCTTGGCACGCAGGCACATGTGCCCGGCGTGAGTTTTAAGCCACCGGGTCCGGGACGCAAACTGCGGTCGACTACGTGGGAGTCCAGCGACATAGCCATTATGCTAACTGCTGGTTCCCGCAAAAGTCTCTCTTAAAAACAAAAAAACAAAAACCAAAAAACCTTGAATCTACTACAAACCTAATTCCCTCATGACTTCTGAAGAAAGAAATCTTCAGGTTAGTTTATGATATCTTTCCAAAAGGTCGACACCAGTGTTTTGATGTCTTCTATCCAGGATTGTTGTCTATAAGGGAGGTCTTTGATTGGTCTCTCTGCAACATCATTGGCCTCCCCATTTCCTAAAGAGGGCTATCCTACTGTTTGGGATCGTCAGGTCCAGGTTCCCAAGGGATGACTTCCAGGTAGATTGAGACAAGCAGGCAGCAGAAAGTCCTAGGTCTGGTGCAGATAGAGATATTTAGTATCAGGATACATCAGGATGGGGTAAGTTAGAGCCAATGAACCAAGGCTACTTCTTCTGATGAGAGACGAGCCATGCTCGAGATTAAAGAAAATAGCCATCTGTTCGGCACCAGGTGTTTACTGTGTTGATCTCATAAAATCCTTGTGATAACTCCTTGAGATGGATATTATACTCATGGATATTATACTCATTTTGCAGATGGGAAAACTAAAGCACACAAAGGAGATGTGATATGCCAAGGACAACACAGGTGGTAAACACTATAGCAGACTTTCCAGACTATCGCAGATCTGCCTGACTTCCAGACCATACCTCACTGCTTTTCAGTACCAAGGATTTTAGTTTCTTTGAGTCCTTTTTCCTCTCCCAGTTGAAATAAGTCTACCCTTAGATAAAGGCAAGTTATGACATTCTCAAAGGCAGCTCTAGCTTGGCTCAAAGTCCATTTCAAATTTGAATCTTGGGAAATTACACTTGACACTCAGTATAATACTTCTAAAGACAGCTGATTCCTTCTTAGAATGAGTTCCTGGGAATGGTCTTCTCCTGGTTGGCTAATTACCCAAGATAGGATAAGACAGTTGGTGGGACATCCTCGGGGCTCACCCAGGACTTGCCACTTTGAATATCTTGGATGAGGTTCATATCAATGGTGTGGCATGAACTTTCGACCCCAGACTATCTCTGCAATGGAGATGAAATAGTTGTGCTCTTGCCACTTTCCTGTTTATATAGTCTCCATAGACCAGGGCCCATAATTTGCTGCTCATTCCATCCTTACTCAAGTGGAGGTGAAAACTAACCAAATAAGCTGGAACCTCATTAGTTCTGAGGCAGATGTAGCTCTCTCATGGTTTGTAATTCTAGGTTTGCTTGTGCAATTTGACTGTAGCCAATATATGCCTTAAGACTAAATTATAAGCTTCCTTCCTCCTCCTTATGAGGCCAGAGACCTGGTCTACTGTGCTTAGCAAGACTTAGTCTATGAAAGCTCAGCCAGAGGTCTCCTGGTCTTGTCCCCTACCCTGGGACCTTGTGTATCTGAGATGGGAACCCTTTCTGCTCTGGTAACCCCAGTTTCTGTAAAAGGCAGCCAGATGCAGCTGGTTTCTCAGGTGGACCTGACCACTGTCATTTCAGTCAAAAGTACCAAAAATAAAACCTTGCGGGGAATTGTCTGAGTCTCTCAGTTCTCGTCATTCCTCATGTGAGAAGACTGCCAGCAAGTTTCTTGTGGACTGCTTTCTTCTCTCTCAGCTGAGAAATGTCATTTCTTAGGAGAATTGGCAATCAAAGAAGATGGGATCCCTGTTTTATTTCCAGCCCAGACTCCAACTGGAGGAAGGAAGGATTAAATTAGGCTGGGACCATTTGGTGACTGACCTCCAGTATCATTCAGAGAAACAACCTGACCTTCCCTGGGCAGGGAAGAGGTGGATAGTGAAGCAGAAATGGACTGTTCTTGGACTCATGAGAGCTAGGTTTAGTTTATGACCCTGTTATTCACAAGTGTACTTCTTGGGCAAGTCTGAAGAACTGAGCACCACTTTCCTCATCTGTAATAGAAGGAAGGGGGAGAGGAATCCCTATTTTAGAGGTTGTGGTGAGGCTTCTCATGAAATCATTTATGTCAAAGGCTCTGAACCACAGAACATCATGCAAATAGAGGGTAGTTATTTTGGAGTTAAGATTGTAACCAAGAAACACATGAACCTTCACCACCCATTCATTCAACGTACCCAAGTCTACATAAAGAAGAGACATCGTGCTGGTACTATCTCTGGGAGTAGAGCAAGATCCAACAGTCTTCTGTGTTCTGCTAGTACAGCAGAAGGTTCAGTGATGTGGAAGGTGCAGATGCCTGGGCAGTAGTGCTTGAAGTAAAACATCCATGGTCCACTACCACATAGAAGGTTCTTGCATTTGGAGCCTTTTCTGACCTCACCTGAGGTCATGGGGTAAGAGATACAGAACTTTTGGGACAACCTAGTTAATCCTGAGGTGCTTCCATCTTTGGACCTTAGTGGATAGAGGTGGGTTATAGGAAAATTGGCTAACATAACTTGAGAGGACTCACTCTATGATCAGACTAGGCGTCTATTCCTTACTGGTTATGGTTTCCTTTAAATGGAGATGGCTTAGCTTTTAGCCCTTTTACTCTGAGGCTCTGTGGTTCTGACAGAAAAATCCTTTTCAGTCACCCCAAACATAATTAGAGACTTCTCCTATGGTACCTCTTTTTCAAGCTAATCTCTCCAGTACTTTTGGCCTGCATAGGTCTGGGAAAGTTCTAAGTAATTGAGCCCCTACTTGAAAGTTTCCCATGATTGATGAGTGAGCTCTGTGGGGCTGATGGGAAGGAATGGGGACACAGGGAGAGGAAATGTCACTGACTATTCCCTTTCCTTCTCTGACCAGATCAGCAAACATGGGGTCAGCTACCATCCTTATGATCTCCTGGTAGAGACATCTCAATTTACCAATCAGGAACACCACAGCTTACTCCTTGGCCATCCCAGCATCCCTATAAGCAACATAAAGTCATAATTCAGTTGAGGTCTCGCTGTCTTTCCTATCTTCAAAATACCTTCTTTAAAGCTACTTTTTTCTCCATCTGTCTTCTCCTCCTCTGCCCTGGACGTTATTTGGATTGCTACAATATATAAGTGATGTGTCTCTATTTCTTGGCTGCAAGGCCTTTTCAGTTTAAACATTAGTGACTGGAAAGCCCCAGTTTACCTGCATATGGGAACTCTTTGTTGGCTTATACTTAAAAAAAAAAAGTAAACTACAATCTAGTGCAAATTGGATGGGAAAGCCTTTCCATAGTGTGTCAAGTCTAAGCTTTGTTAAGGCCCATGTTCTTTTTTCCTGTTTAGGGGGAAAAAAGTCAGCCCTTGTCCAGGAATGGAAAGAACAAATTTAAAAACTTTGGTCTTCATCGTAAGAAGAGCACCACATCAGTGTTTCAGTTCAGAATGTGAATAATCGTTTAGCTGGCCTAAGCTGATGTTTTGAAGTCCTCAGCTATCTTAGGCCAGGAACATAAACAAGATACTTTGCTTTGAAGTAAAAAAATGTCCGGAACTTTTGTGACTTTGCTTTTAGTTAGAAGCTTGGGCAATTTTGCTAACTTGAGCGTTTACTGTTGAGTTTGTTTTTGGTTTTGTTATAATTATTTGTATTTCTCTCTCATATATGTGTGATTTAAAATACTGTAGATTGAGCAACAGAAAATAATTGTTTTATTTTTAATTTTTATCTATTTACATTTTTTATACATTCAACTTAGAAAGTGAACATTTCATATATGAACATTTCTCCCCATTTCAGTTTATTAAAATGTAACAACACTACCTCCCTATCCCGACAATGCACTGTCTCCGTATTCCTCCTCCAAATGTCCTTCCCCAGACCCCTCTCCTCCACACACACCACATCTGACATTCACACCCATCTCTTGAGTTTGTACATTGTTTAGCCCGTCAGTTTCAGTCATAGAGTGCGGACACTCGGTATATATTAAGTGGGGACATACAATGTCTCTCCTTCATACCTGGCTTGCTTCACTCAGCAGTAATTCTTCCATATTCTTCCATTTTCTGTCAAAGTCAGGGTTTTGTTGTTTTTTATGGCTGAATAGAATTCCATAGAGTATATGTGCCACAGTTTTTCAATCCATTCACCTGTACAGGGGCATAATTGAGCAACAGCAATAATAAATAATATCACTCCAGTGATTGCCTGGAGTGATCAACAACATGTCACAGTTGATAGTAAGTCACATGTCCTTCTGGGATAGGAATCTTTAAATGGCTAATCCTTATATGGCTGCAGTCTTGAGGTTCAACCTGTCAGTTGTGAATGGAAAGAGCTTTTGACAGAAGAGATTGTCAAGTGAGTCGGATAGGTTTCTTCTCTCTGGCTCTTGTGATGGAAATTCATGCTTATTCTGGGTTCCACCTAGTTATTAGAACAGATTTCTTAACTGTTGTCCAACCTGCTGCCTGGCCCTGGCGGTTCGTGGGAAATCGCAAGTGAGCAATGACAAGGAGAAAGTCTTCTCTCAAGAGTGCCTTGGAAACTGTCTTAGGGAGTGAATGCCTATTTGACCTGGGCTCTTTCAATGCTGCCTTGGAAGAGAAGTGACCAGTGAACAATGACTGGGTATCAGCTCCACTTAGAGTCATTAGGAGGGACCTTGCTCCTTAGCTGAGTAGCTTCTGCCCTGAGGGATGAATGTAGTTTCTATGGAGCCACTAAATAAATAAGTACTGATAATTTTGCATATTTTCTCAGTTATATTTTATCATGCCTTCTACAAGGAACTAGTGCCATGTTTATTTAAATCAGTAGAATCCATATGTTCCCTTAGAGCTTGGTGCAAAGCAAGTACACATGCCCATATGCAGCCAGGGCCCTGTCGGAGGTGACCAGTTAGCTCAACTCTGTCATGCTCTGCACTCTAGTGGAACAGCAGCTGCAGAGCTCTTATTTTTGTGATCTTCAGGGGGAACTGAAATATTCTCTGCTGACTTTTTCTATGTTCAGATTTTTCATTGCTCATTTTGGAAAAGGGAAGCCCTCATTGGGGTCAAATTCATAGGTTTTTCTGTAAATGAAGCATTTTTTTTTTTCTTTCTCAAACCCCATTGGCAACTGACTTCTACGTGAGATGGAAAGGCAGTATGATGAAAAAGGAAATTCCCAAAGAGGACTGAGAGGCTTATATTTAGGAAGAAATATTTTTCTCAGTGATAGACTCTTGGATGCTCACAGGAGATTGAAAGGGCCTTCAGACTGCAGGATAAATGGTGAGAAAGCTTCAGGCTTTAAGGATATGCTACCTGGGGCTGCTGGTTTGGATTGGGAGTTATTAATATCTCTTGTCAACTATATTTTGGGAAAATGGATTTTCACCTTCTCTGCTGGTGTATTATTATTTCTAGCTCCTATTTTACTTTCTTTGAATATTCTTTTTTATTATTTTAAGCAACTATTTTAACACTTAAATTTTTTTTTATTTTAAGTATTCCAGTTGAGTTGTTTTAAAGTTAGTTCAATTTAACAATCCAGAAGCCCCAAGGTAATGCAATCATGATTTCAGACACACTTCTTTTCCTCTTTCCAATTTTAATGTGGAATTAGAACTGTTTGTTGTTGGGACCAGCAGTTAGCATAATGGCTATGTCGCTGAACTCCCATGTAGCTGACCGCTGTTTTGCATATTTTCTCAGTTATATTTTATCATGCCTTCTACAAGGAACTAGTGCCATGTTTATTTAAATCAGTAGAATCCATATGTTCCCTTAGAGCTTGGTGCAAAGCAAGTACACATGCCCATATGCAGCCAGGGCCCTGTCGGAGGTGACCAGTTAGCTCAACTCTGTCATGCTCTGCACTCTAGTGGAACAGCAGCTGCAGAGCTCTTATTTTTGTGATCTTCAGGGGGAACTGAAATATTCTCTGCTGACTTTTTCTATGTTCAGATTTTTCATTGCTCATTTTGGAAAAGGGAAGCCCTCATTGGGGTCAAATTCATAGGTTTTTCTGTAAATGAAGCATTTTTTTTTTTCTTTCTCAAACCCCATTGGCAACTGACTTCTACGTGAGATGGAAAGGCAGTATGATGAAAAAGGAAATTCCCAAAGAGGACTGAGAGGCTTATATTTAGGAAGAAATATTTTTCTCAGTGATAGACTCTTGGATGCTCACAGGAGATTGAAAGGGCCTTCAGACTGCAGGATAAATGGTGAGAAAGCTTCAGGCTTTAAGGATATGCTACCTGGGGCTGCTGGTTTGGATTGGGAGTTATTAATATCTCTTGTCAACTATATTTTGGGAAAATGGATTTTCACCTTCTCTGCTGGTGTATTATTATTTCTAGCTCCTATTTTACTTTCTTTGAATATTCTTTTTTATTATTTTAAGCAACTATTTTAACACTTAAATTTTTTTTTATTTTAAGTATTCCAGTTGAGTTGTTTTAAAGTTAGTTCAATTTAACAATCCAGAAGCCCCAAGGTAATGCAATCATGATTTCAGACACACTTCTTTTCCTCTTTCCAATTTTAATGTGGCATTAGAACTGTTTGTTGTTGGGACCAGCAGTTAGCATAATGGCTATGTCGCTGAACTCCCATGTAGCTGACCGCTGTTTGAGTCCTGGACCCGGTGGCTTAAACTCCGGGCGTGTATGCCAGGCGTGTATGCATGTGTGCCCAAGATCCTGAGAAGAGAATGGAGGAGAAGGGATTGCGGTGTGGCCATCCCCCCTGAAGAGTGATTTCTCACTTTCTATCTCTCTTTCTCTCTCTTTCTTTCTGGTGAGCGCATGTGCCCTATAGGGAAAAAAAAAAATCTCTCAAAAAAAGAGGAATATTTATTGTTGCTTCATATAGGTCAGTATGAAAGGCACCAACTGTGAATTTTCTACTTGCCAGTATTTCACACTTGGCTGTTGGGCTTCTCTGAAAATCGTCCTGGGGCTTCAGATTCTGCTGTTTCATGAATATTGCAAAGACACTGTGAGAAGCACCCTCACTCTTGCCTCCCTGGTCAGCATCACTTACAGGATTCCTTGGCAGCTGGATGTGGACACATTGGCAGGCAGTCAGGAGACCCTTGAGAGCTGCGGGGGTTCTGCAACTGCAATTGGAAGAGATGGAGACTTAGAAATTGCTCCCCATGTGACCTGTTGTGCCAGGGCACACCTGTTGATATTGTGAGTTCTAGGAAGTCCAGACATTAGAGGATGATACCCTCTGCTCGCTGCCCCTCCCCTAAGCCTTCTTTGTTCATTGATTTTTTAAAAACAGCGAGAGGCAGGAAGCCCTGGCTTGACAAAATCCTGGAAGTGCTCAGCTGGTCTCTTTCCAAGCCAAGTGTGTGGTGTGTCCACTTCCTGGGAGGGCGTAGAACTGGAAGGCTTCTGGGCCCTTCCCCAGAAGTGTACATGCAAATCAGAGGGGAGGGGAGGCCATAAACCTGTCTGTGATCTGGTCTGAGATGTGTGCTGTGGGACTGAGCATTTCTCATCTCAAAGCTGAGTTGAGGGTGACCTCAGTGCTTGGAACTCCAAGTAAGCCCATCCCACAGATTTTTCCTGAGCACACAATGCTACAGCCTGCATTTGATGTCTGAGGAATAGTCAGAAACCCAATTGGGGATCTGCGTAGGTGGAGCGGTACGACTGTGAACAGAGCTGAGAAGCAGTGAAAGGTGGGGAGGTGTAGGTGCCCCTCACCTTGGGTCTGTGATCAGCACAGGGCATCACCTAGCAGAGTGGAAGCGGCAAATGATGGCTAGGGGTTGAAATGTATCATTACGAAATAGCTGAAGAAATCAAGTTCCATGCTTAGACTGCAAGATCCACTGGCCAGAGGCAACAACATCTTGCTTAGTGCTATGTTCCTAGTGCTTAGAAATTTGAAAGAATGTGTGAGTACTGGTGGAGATCCCATTTATGACAGGGGAAGCTAAAACGAAGATAATTAACCTTCTATCAAGATGTTATAGGGATGGGACCAGCAGTTGGCATGATGGCTATGTCATTGGATTCCCATGTAGTCGACCGTGGTTCAAGTCCTGGACCTGGTGGCTTAAATTCACACTGGGTGCGGGTGCACGTGTGCCCAAGATCCTAAGAGGAGAATGGAAGAGAAGGGATTATGGCATGACCAATCCCCCCGGGGAGTGATTTCTCCCTTTCTATCTCTCTAACTCTGTCTTTCTAGTGAGCGCACATGCCCTGTAGCAAAAACCTCCCCCCCTACCAAAAAAAAAAAAAAAAGATGTTATAGGGAAATGCTATGTTAAATTGGTGATAAGTTATGAATGGTTCTAATCCTGGCAGATCTTCAGAATTACCAATGGGATTTTTATCCACATAGATTCCTAAACCCATATTAACATCCCAGAAACAGACCCTGGGAATAGGACCTGAGAATCTGTATTTTGCATCACTCTCTGGTTGGTTCTGCTATGTGGCCAGGTTAGGGGCCTTAGCAGTTGGGTCTCAAGTCTAGCCTAAGATGCTAGGATGCCTGATTCCACATCATCTGTCTCTGGGGCTCACCGGTCTCTTCCTGCTGCCTGTGACCAGGATTCTTCCTGCCTGTTGGGCTTTGAGACCTCTCCCTAGTTGTGTCTAAATCCCAAAGGAGGTCTGGAGTCCAGTCAGGTGTGGGGCCTTATCAGAGGGTATTTACTGAACAAAGTTCAGCCAAGACAGCATTGTAGATCCGGGTTTAAAAGATACTCAGGCTTCCGGGCCTTTGATTCAGAGCCCAGGTCTCCGGAGGCCCTTATCAGTGGATGATAATGGGCTCCCCATGTGAGTAGTCCTTAGGGCTAGTGCTTCTCACTGTGCTTGGTTGACTTGGGCCTGCAGTCCAAGGGCCTAGGGCCTAGACCACTGGCTGCCTGGGTGGGCAGGTTGTTTACTGCTCAGCTATGGCTATTTTTGGCTTGCTTTTCCAGGCCAGGAAGGGCCCTGCTTTGGTGTCTGGCTTTGATGACAAGAGGGAGAAGCAACCTTCTCTAAATAGCAGGGTGGACACCCTCTGACCTCAGGATACATGGCTCACTAATGGGGATTTGTAGCATGTCTTAGGAGACATAGAGAACCTGGGAGCCATTGGCTTTAGCACATTCATCCTGAAGGTCTAGGAGAGCTGAAGGGAAGGCAAAAGGAAGCACCTTCTGAAGAATCACTCCATCAATTATGCAACAAATAACTGCTGAGCTTTATGGACATGCCAGTTAGGAGGATACAGAGAAATAAGGTACAATATCTCACTTTGGGAAGGCTATAATCTAGCTGGGATCATAAGAAATTTACAACAAAAAAGGATAACTAATCATTACATAGCAGATAAAAAATTTATTGAATGCCTATTCTATCTGATTTTTTAAAAGATATTTGTCACGGGTGAATGTACTTTTCAAAGAGATACAGAAAGAGGAAGAAATGACAAATCACACCCTTTCTTTCCCCAGAAAGGTTGGGTACACCACAATCGTCCTCCTCCATTCTTCTCTCAGGATTTTGGGTATGCACGCATACATGCATGGTGTGTTTTTCAGTCCTGGGTCCAGGACTTGAATGGCAGAAAAAGATATTTGTCACGGGTGAATGTACTTTTCAAAGAGATACAGAAAGAGGAAGAAATGACAAATCACACCCTTTCTTTCCCCAGAAAGGTTGGGTACACCACAATCGTCCTCCTCCATTCTTCTCTCAGGATTTTGGGTATGCACGCATACATGCATGGTGTGTTTTTCAGTCCTGGGTCCAGGACTTGAATGACAGAATTGACCATGTGGGACCCAATGCCTTAACCACCACACTACGTGCTGGCCCACTCTGTATCTGATCTTATATGAAGCATATACTATTCTTCCTATTTACTATGTCAGGAGATTCCTCACAACATTCCTTTTTGATAAAGAAATTGCAAGTTAGGAGGTACAGAAAGATTTAATGATTTACCCAGGGTCACACCGCTAGATTGTGGCAGGGAAAGATTTGAAGTCTATGCTATTTGCTTCAGAGTTTCTGCCCTTACTGCCATCCTCTGCTGCCACCTGTGATGACACTACTCAGATGTGGAAGTGTTTGAGAGGTTGCAGGATGTAGAAATTTCATGGGCTGCAGAGGTCAGGCAGGAGAGTTGCACTAGCCTTGGTCAGAAAGAACCAAGAGGCTGAGAGAGGTGAGAGGGAATTTTGAGCATGGAACATCTCAAGTGAAGATGAAGGGGGTGAATGCAGGGCACATATTCTGGCTGGAGTCAGGGTTTATTTATCAGTTAGTGTGGAAAATGGTTAGAAATATGGGTTCCAATCCCAATGTGAAGACCTTTTAATGCTAGATTAAGGAACCAGACTTCACTTGTTGGGGTGGATGGGAACCATAAAAGGCTTGGTGGCAGGAAGAGTGACAATATGGGGAGAAATATTCTGGGATTTCTCATGTGGTCCTCTGTGTTCAAGGACAATTTAGGGACGTAGGCAGGTCCTTGAGATAGTGGGCACTTTGGGGTGGGGCCTTGTCTAAGACCATGGACTCCAGTGACATTGTTTTTAATTGTTTTTCACAGCTACAGCTTCTGAACAAGCCCCCGCTCCACCACGGCCATACCAGGGCGTCCGTGTGAAGGAGCCAGTGAAGGAACTGCTGAGGAGGAAGCGTGGCCATGCCAGCAGCGGGGCAGCCGTGGCACCTACTGCGGTGAGGACACTGCTGTGGCTAGAGAGTGTGTGTGGGGGGTGAGGGGTGGCCAAAGGGATCAGATAGGGGTATACTTTCTTGCTCCATGGGATACTCATCAGGGTCATGTAGGCAGCAAGTTAAGTGGTGATGGCTGTATGGAGAAGGACCCGGGGTAGAACAAGTTGTGGCTCTTTGAAGTGGAATGAATGCTGGGAGCGAGGGCCGGATTGGCCCATTGAGCAAAGCTGTTGTCAAGACCTGAATGAGCAAACAATTCACATACCCTGGTGTGACTTGGGGGCTCCCCCTCTTAGAAGAGGGAGATGCCAGTCCTTAAGTGTGCATGGCCTTCTTGCCAAATGGAAACACAAATTTCTTGAAAGTGTACGTGGTGATGGTTAGGTTATAAGGTAGGACGCTTTGTCCTAGCAGGGGAGGTTCTTACCCTCGACCCTCCTGCCTGGGGTTCTCTGGGTGAATCTTCAAAAAGGGCTGGTTGGAGAGGGCTAACTGCCCATCCTGGTCTTCTCGTTCCCTCTGTAGGTGGTGCTGCCCCATCAGCCCCTGGCGACCTACACCACAGTGGGTAAGAGCTCCCTACAGCCCTGGTTTCCTCCTTGCCCTCTTCTGGATGGTACCTGCAGTTCTTTAATTTCCTTCTTCCAACAGGTCCTTCCTGCCTTGACATGGAGGTCTCTGCTTCCACAGTGACAGAAGAGGGGGCCCTGTGTGCTGGCTGGCTCTCCCAACCTGCCCCAGCCACCCTCCAGCCCTTGGCTCCATGGACGCCCTACACGGAGTATGTGCCCCATGAAGCTGTCAGTTGCCCCTACTCAGCCGACATGTATGTGCAGCCCGTGTGCCCCAGCTACACGGTTGTGGGGCCCTCCTCAGTGCTGACCTATGCCTCCCCGCCACTCATCACTAATGTCACGGTATGTCACGCAAGGCAGAGCTTCACTACCTGTGCTGAGGGCACCCTTTGGAACCAGAGCTGACTTCCTCCCATCTTCCTTACTCCTGATTCCAGAGCAGTTGGGTCCTCTATGCCCTCAGCCAGCCTCCAGAGAGGCCTGGTCTTACTCCTATGGCCCTAAAACATCTTCTACAAGGGTCTCGCCACTGCTCTTGTCATGCCTTATGCTCCTCAAGGGTAGGAAAATTTTCTCCTGCTTTAATTGCCCTGTGAACAGTGAGTCTTGGTTTTGAGTTGAAATTTTTAGTAAATAGCCTACTAGGTGATATGTGCTTGAAGTCTCCTGCCAGAGTCAACCTTTCCTTTCTGTTCAGATAACTTAAGGAGTGATCCTTAACTTTACAATGGGATCTACCAGATTTCTAGGCTGAGAAACAGTTCATACAACTCTTCAGGAAATTGTTTTTGATGGTTTCAGATCTACCTGTAGGTTTTTTGTTTGATTAAATTTCTATGTCTAGTGTCAGATTGCCTGTGTTCAAATCCCAGCCTCTTCACTTGCTAGTTATATGATCCTAGGCTTAATGACTTAATCTCTCTGTGCCTCAGTGACCTCATCTATAAAAAGGGAATACCTGGAAGAGGGTTGTCAGGATCCAATGGATGTGAAGGGTGTAGCACAGTTCCCGCCGTACAGAAAGCACTCAATAAATGGTAGTTATCATTATTGTACCAAAGTCTGCCAACAACCTTACCCAAGGACCACCTTCAAGTGCCAGAAAGGACAGGAAGGACCTGCTCTTCTAGGGTTGGAGGAAGAGAAATAATTTTAGGTAAATGGTACCTGTTTGGCCAGAGGAATGGGAATCTCTTAAGTGTTTAGGGGAAAAAAGGCCTATAGTTGCAGTTGTATCCAGCTCAGTTTAGGGCAACTATGGGAGGAAGAGTTCCCCCTCCAGAGTGCAGTGTCATCCTGATGCACTTGCCCCCTGCCTCTGAACACCTTCCAGGCAAGGCCTGCAGGAGCCTCCTACCCTTGCCTACCTGGCTACCCAGCAATCTAATTGTGGGCCCGGATGATGGGGAAGGAATTAATTCAGCACCTCTCCCAGACATCTCATTTCCATATCAGGGGGCCTGAAGTGGGGGTGGAGGTAGAGGTGGAGGAACGAGGGCAAAATGGTTCCCAGACATTTCATTACCAAGAATTCCTTTCGCTATGTATCCTCTTTCATCATCCCCCACTTTTGCTTTGAAAGGTTCTGTGTATCAAACAAACTGTATTTATTAAGAAATAATTGATTTGTTTTTCCATTTTGTAAATTAACTCATCAAAGCTGGGTAGAGCTATCAGTCAGCACCCCTGATCAGCAGAGATAAGGTCTGTTGTTGCTCTGGGTGGTTGTAATTCTACCCCTAGGAAAAAAAAAAAAAAAAAAAATCCTGTTGTTGTAGTTGACCTGTTTATGGCTTGACAATGTAGGATTTCCATTTGGATTTTTGAAATATTGCAAATTATAAGGTTTTCTCAGAGTCTGTCTGGTCTCAGGGTTGGGGGGAACCAGTGACTTAAGTCAAAGGAGAGTGTGTTGTGTTGTGGTGGAACGCACATGTCAGTCTGGATGTCAAAGGCTGTGGAGATCTCTTCGAGTTCCATCATTATTTGGAACAACACCTTAAAGCGTTGTGATTCCAATTGTACTTCTGGTAGCTGCCGGAGATCTGATTAGCGGTGCAGAGTCTGGGCTCCGCCCTGGGCCTCCTGTACCAGAATCTGCATTATAACACAATTCTCAAAAGACTGAGAAACGTTCTGCTTTAATGACCCCAACAGCTTACTCTCAATACAATGGCAACTGGAGAGAGCTATGACAGGGACGGTAAGGGGGCCAGGGAGTCTGGCCTCTCATGTCAGCCTGTGCAGATCCCTTCCTCCTCACCCTCTTTCCTCAATAGGAATGAAGAGTGAGCTTCCGGGCTCTGTCTCCCCCATAGACTTCATCTGAGGGTTGTGAGGGTAGTTGCTGTGCAGGTGACAAGGTATGGTTTGTAGATGATGTGGGAGAATGACCCTGACCCTGGTCAGGTCATGGGGGCTGTTGAGGTGGGAGAGCCACAGAGCCCAGCTCAGAGACAGAGGATCATGAAGATATGGAAGGACAGGCAGCAACAGGAAGGCATGGCAAGTTCACTGACCAAGCAGTGCCTTCTCCACCTCAAGTATGGCAGGACTTCTCTATGCTGGTCACCACCAGAGGGTGGAAGCTGATGGCACTCTCACGCCCCACCCCACAGGGACCTTAGGGTGCCAAAGCTGCTGTGCAGAGCCAGGACTGTCTTTATGAATTGTCCTGGGCAGGACAGCAACCACCTTCAAGACAGCTACCAGGCTGTGTGATAAGCTGATTCTTTAATATGTGTTTTATAGACTTAAGATTCATATATATATATATATTTTCCCACATTTTAAGAACTCTGAAATTAGGATGCATCTTATATTTAGGGACACCAGGAAAGCTGTTTCTAATTCACTCAGCCCTATGATTTCATTACCATTCTACCCTATATTATAGGTGCAAGAAAATGAGGCCTCTGAGTGGGGAAGTAGTGTGAGCAAGGACATAAAGCTAGTATGTGACAGAGTGAGGGACACAGTGGACGTTTGTCTGGCTTCCTTGGGGAAGGCTTTCAGCAAGAGGAGGTGGAGCCACTTGAAGAAACCAGAAAAAGGCAGAGTTTAAGGCGGGAATTATGGAGCCCTGTGAGGTCAAGGATGGGTGGGTGGCCATCCCAGGACTGCTAACCCTGGGTTCTGTGTTTCTCCATCACAGACGAGAAGTGCCGCCACTCCCACGGTGGGGCCCCAGCTGGAGGGCCCAGAGCACCAAGCACCCCTTACCTACTTCCCGTGGCCTCAGCCCCTTTCCACGCTGCCCACCTCCACCCTGCAGTACCAGCCTCCTGCCCCAGCCCTGCCTGGGCCCCAGTTTGTCCAGCTTCCCATCTCCATCCCCGAACCAGTCCTTCAGGACATGGAAGACCCCAGGAGAGCCATCAATTCCCTGACCATTGACAAGCTGCTTTTGGAGGAAGAAGATAGTGATGCCTACGCACTCAACCACACTCTCTCCGTGGAAGGCTTCTAGGGTCGGCTTGCATCTGAAAGCATATTCCCCCAAACTGGGAATTACAAACAAGCCTGTTTGAAATAGCCATTTTATAAATATATCTTTTACCCAAAACTAAAATTTTAGCTCGATCCTTCTTTCCTTCCTTCCTTCCTTCCTTCCTTCCTTCCTTCCTTCCTTCCTTTCTTCCTTCCTTCCGTCCGTCCGTCCGTCATCCCTCTCTTCGTTCCTTCCTCCCTCTCTTTCTTCTCCTCTTCTCTATTATATTTTTCTTTTTTCAGTTCAGTTCCCTTCTGGGAGAAATTATAGGAATTTTAGAGACTATTTCATGTCAAGTGTTACATGTGACTCAGGTGCTCTTTCCACATTTTCTGCCATGTCTTCTTCCTTGGAAGAAGCCCTTTCTTCCCAGTGCTCACTGCTTCTGGGAGCAGTAGTCCTACTGAACTGTCTCAGAGCCAGTTATACCTTTGTCGCTTTGAGATGTATGGGGTGCCCCATGGGCAGACCCACCTGCCAGCACCTCCCAAGAGAGGCAGCCAAGGGCAGACCCAGTGCCAGAGTCCTTGAGCTGTCAGTTCCCACAGTCACTCCTTTGTTTGCTCTTCTCAGCGTTGGCCAGATTTACTAGGCTTACAGACTCTCAAGGCCTGAGGCTGAGAGTAGTGATGTGTGTGTGTGTGTGTTGGGGGGAAGAACACCAGGGAGAGTAGGGGCAGGTCAGTAACAGGAGGGAGAGGAAAGAGAAGGGATGGGAACGTTGTATGTTTGTGGTTGGAGAACAGTGCGGGGAGGGAGAGATTGGGTTTTACGAGGAGAGGACGAAGGCTGAAGAATGATTTAGCTCCAAATTATTTGATTATTAAGAAGGACAACACACTTAAAAAAATTGCTTTAATAGTTAGTTTTGCAGCTCTCCTGGAGGATACTTGCAAAGGAGGCTGCGCATATGAGAACAGAATGAGTGTCCTGTCTGGCTTTGTTAGTCCCACCTCCAGACCCTCTGTTAACATGAGTGAACCAAG